CGGCGGTGCTGTTAGAGCGCGAACGAAGCGAGGTGGAGCGGGAGAGGGTTTCTTTCTCCTTCCGGTTCGGTAGGAGTTGGCGTTCGAACAGTTGCTGCGGTGCTGAAGAAATTGGAGTCCATCTGTGTGGGAGCAGGGCCGGAGCTGTGCCCCTGCCCGGCCCAGAACTTAGGTTTTACACTTAGTAGTAGTACTGGCACTCATAAGCTAGTGTTCCGGGTCATTCTGTCTCATCGGGGAGAGCTGAGGTAGCAGAGAGGGAAGCTTCTCTTTCATGCTGGTGGTACCGTGATATATAATACTGTGGTCATAATAGTAGTGTATGAGTTACGTGCACATGTGATAGCATTACTTTTCTAACAAAAAGTAAAACTTTAACCTTAAAATATATATTGTCCAGTTTAATACAGGCTTGTGCCACTGGAGGTAAGTTTTTTTTCACGGAATAATTTTAAGCACTTAATGTCAGTAAAATCTGTTTTGAGTGTATTTTAAATTTCCGATTTTGAAACCCGGTTCGTGTGTTCAGCATAATGGACATTTATGTCGAAGTGGTATCTGAAATTTCAGAATCGTTAAATCTGATACTGGTAGAGAAACTACTCGGAAGCGATCTTTGAACTGGAAAGCAACAGAAGATGTGGGATGTTGATGTACAGCAGGGGATCAGAGAAGAAATTCTGAACAAAAAAATTGTTTCGGAAAAGTCTACTGTGTTTCTGAGGTTTTGGTTCTTAGGATTATTAATATAGTTACTCTTCAGAGAGCTTTGATTTAAAATCGTAGCCCTGCATTTTAGCAGACTTTTTTATATATATACATATGCATATCTATTTCAGATTGTTAAATGAAACTAGTTGAAATCAATTACTAGTTGGAACTTGATTTTAACGCTAAAAATCCTTTAAATTCACAAGCTTTTGGACACATTATAATGAAGTACTGAACAGAGACAAGTTCCAGACCTAAAGCAAGGATTCCGTTGTGGCTTTCAGTCAATTAAACAGTGAGCATTACTATGTTTTTGTAGGACATTTTTGTGTTTATTGGTGATGTTTTCGTTTGGTCCTGCAAGATTTCTCATCTTTTTCTTTTGAGTTTTAAAGTTTTACTCTAAGCCACATCAACAGATTGCAAGTAAGACTTTGGGGTTTTGTGTATTTGAAAAGGAGAGTTAGAAAAACTAAACTTAATGTTGGGATGTGTACTTAATGTCCACCCTAAAACTTTATTCGCAGTACAAGAAAAAGATAAACTTTTTTGTCTTGCTATACTAGTAAAACTTTAAGGTACAGATACTGAAACTTTGATCTTGCATTCTTCTTTTTCTTTGCAAGGTTGGAATTCATACCAAGGCATGGTTTATTGCTGGGATATTTCTACTGATGACTATACCAATCTCTCTGTGGGGAATACTACAACACTTAGTCCATTATACTCAACCTGAATTACAGAAACCAATAATAAGGTAACATTTCACATTTTACCTGTGCTACAAATGTTGAATTTAATTCAGACTAAGAATACTTCTAGTAATATTAAATGTTCTTTTGTTATCGTAACAGGATTCTATGGATGGTGCCGATTTACAGTTTAGACAGTGTAAGTGTTCTCTTACTGTTAACAGCTCAATAAAATTCTGTTTGCTGTGGGAGTGAGGGAAAACATTGTCACAGTTAGCAGAGATTATGCTGCATGGAGAGTTGTAGCCCTAGAAACTTCTGGGCATTCCTATTTATGGAGTGCCCCAGAAGCATAGTTCTAGCGATATTACATTCTTCTTGTGGAGCTTGTGGGATCGCTTTTGCTAACCCTTCTTAACCCTGTCCTTGAGTATTCTTTATGACGGATGTGGAAAGGGGTACGGCAAGAGCCTGCTTTTGGTCCTTCCATCTTCAGTAACAGCTGAACTGGAAACCAGGCTGATCCAAGTAGTGTCTCAAAATTCAGTGCCTTACGTTTCTTTCCCAAGTTAGGCTTAGTGCTAAAATTCTTCCTTTTTGCTTCAGGGGGCAAAGGATAAGATCCCACAAAAAATCCACTTCTGAATACTTTTATGGGATAGAGTCTGTTGGCTGTACCAGATATGGTTCATGTAAATATGTCACCTGTGGAGATGATTTCAGCCAGAGCTAAGCAAGATACTAAATCTGTGGACGGTACAGGATATCTGTTTACATGTTGTTATCACCTCTTGACATTGCAAATATGTCTGTTTCCCCCAAAAAGGACAGCTTTCCGCGAACTTTTCCTTTGATTTTTTTCTCACATCTCTTGAGTGTTTATGAAGTGTCAGTCACCCTTATGCATGCTCTCTATTTGTTAGTTTTGGTTTGTTTGTTTGGTTGTTTTTTTTGAAAGACTGGGATTTAGAGTATTTGAGAGTGAAGGAGAGTGGGGAAGAAAACGTTACCTGTTTCCTGTGGGGAATGTCAGCTACTTCAGGTTGATATTTCAATTTCAAGTACAGAATTTTCCTTTGGAAGAAAATTACCTGCTAATTAAATGAGCTCTAGCCAGCCATTCAGGGACATTTCAGACATACTGAAATCTTTCTTCCGACTCCTGGATCTTACAGCCTTTGCTGCATACATGGTGTCCTCCTAGAGTGCTTCACCTGAGCTGAACAGAAAGCTCTCTTCTCAGATTCAAATACCGTACTCTCAGTTTACTAGATACAGAATTACATCTTCCATAAAGGTGTTGCAGCATCTGTCGTCTCTAGTATTTCTTAACTGTGATGAGGATGTGAAGCGTCTTCCTGTAGTTCTAACAAGAAGGTCAGAGAAGGCGCAACATTTGCTCTACTACAACCCAGGGAAGCAAAGTAAACTCAAAAGACCTGCCTCCTTTTAACTTCCCCTCCCAAAAAAACACCAAACCCAGAAAACCTGGCAGGACAGGTTGTATTGAACAGTGCAACACCAGTGTGATACTCAAAAGTTGAAAGCTCTGACAGGTGATTCATAATCACAGTTTTGCAAAAAAATCACTTTTCTGTTTGAAATTCTGGTTTAGAGGGATGACTACCACTTGAAGGCTAATCTGCTGCCACCTTCTATAGTTTGCAAACATGCCAGGACAAACATTTACACGTTAGATACCAAAAGAAATCAACTTTGTACTGACGGACTGAAAGCTTAGTTCTCAAACCCATCTTGACAACGAATATGGGAATTTCAGGAAACAGTTCTATCTTGACTCCTCCTAACAGGAGCAGGTTATGCGTAGGGAACCATCTCCGTAGGTCATTTTAAAGGAAAGTCTGAAATCTGTGGTCACAGATCCAGAGCATCTCTTGCGCAGTGCTTTAAGCATGCTTCCAATCGAAGCAGCAGAGGTGCAGTCTGAAGTTTTACTTCGGTTTTTACAGAACGTTATTTTCTAGCTGTAGCATCGTGCTCTCGTTAGCCAAATGCTTCAAGCCCTGTTTAATTAGTGCCTGCTGTCTAGTGAAGTATTGCTTGCTGAACTAGCCAGCCAGTGTTGTCATTGGAATCACTTTTGTCTTTCTTGCGTGTAACCTTTTGTGTGCCTCTCTTCTTACAGTGGATAGCTTTGAAATACCCCAACATTGCAATATATGTGGATACATGTCGAGAGTGCTATGAAGCTTATGTCATCTATAACTTTATGGTTTTTCTTTCAAACTATCTAACCAACCGGTATCCAAACCTCGTATTAATAATAGAAGCGAAAGATCAGCAGAGACATCTGCCGCCTCTATGTTGTTGTCCGTCGTGGGCTATGGGAGAGTGAGTATATAATGACATCTTAAAATTTTAAGCTGTGTGACCAGATACAAACATTTTGTTTTCATATTTAGTAGTATAACTGTTGTTGCTTGGCAGAATCAGTTTATGGTTTGCACACATTTTGTGTATCAACTATGAACCCTTACTGAAAGCAGCTGTGAAGTGTTTTTGTCTGGCTTTAAACCATCCTATAAATCGCACTTAGTTACAAACATTGCATTGACTCAAGTGGTGCTGAAGGAAACTTCCTTATTTTTGAAAGGTATTGGAAAAATGTCTCCTTGAACTTGCTTCCTTTGCCATCATAGAATATTTGCCAAAAATCTCATGTTGAATCGCTGGTAGACCAGATAGCCTATGGCTTTTACTTCCACAAGTGAAGGACAAAAGGCCCTGTGCCCCTGAACTGTTTGCTTCTGCGTGCTTAATCTGATAAGCATCTTTCTTAAGAGATTTTGATAAAGCTGTTTAAAATCTTGAAGACAAACTATGGATGTAAGTCATTCTTCAATGTCTTTAAATGCAGTGGAAATTGCCTCCTCTTTGTTTAGCCCAGCCAGAAGCTTTCCATGGCTAAAAGTAGTGAATCATTGAGTGTTTCCTGTTATGTATCTATGAAAGTCAAGGTCTGTTGTGTATTGCGTATATACACACTAATTACTGTGGCATCTGAAGTCCTTGAAGCAGAAGTTGAACTTCCCATGGAATAAAAATTAAGTTTAGTGAAACTACTGAGAACAGGAGACTTCCATAAGTGAATTGTCTTTAAATCCTTGTACAATGAATTTTGTGTTTCTCTTGCAGAGTTTTATTATTTAGATGTAAACTGGGTGTTTTGCAGTACACTGTTGTCAGACCGTTTACTACCATTATTGCTTTGTAAGTATGCTCGTAAATAATTAATATTGATCTTCAGGATGTAATTTTGAATTACACTGGAAAGAATTTTCATGCCCTTTGTATTGAATCTAGGCAGTTTGAAAGCAGACTCGTTGTGTTACATGCTAAATGGGTCCTGGCAATTTGAATTGAAATAATAAATACTTAATGCCTGCTGCTGAAAGCAGTGGGAGAGAATGTGAAGTACTGTTTCTGTGGGAAAGACATTTTTATGATCACTTAATTTTTAGTCTTTTTTCCCACCTTCTTTCTTTTCTCATTGGCTTCAACAATTGGGTGTTTTTAAAGTCAGGTTTCATGTAACTGAACTTTTTATTAAATTTTGCATGTGACAAGCCTGACTGCGTGCCTCCATACATATCATATAACCTGTTGTTGTAAAGGAATAGCAGGCAGTTATGCACGTTGATGCTGAAAGTTTAATTTCATTAACTTTGTATTGATGGTCATCACTGTTAAATCTGTGGGACTGTGGAAAAAGTTGCTACTTAAAAAGAACGTCCCTATAAATATTTATATTAGCTGTATGTGTTTTAACAGTTAAAAGCAAAAGGTCTAATAAAAAAAATGAATTCATTCAACAATTATGTTAATTGTTAACCCTGCATTCCAATGCTATTTCTTTTATGGAAAAAATTATGTTAATTGTTAACCCTGCATTCCAACGCTATTTCTTTTATGGAAGACACAATACGAACTTCCCATGCCATACGCTGTTGGCAGCTGAGTCCTGTGCAGACCTCCCAGGGCCCATATTTGAGTACCAAAAGAGACTCGATTCTGACAGTTGATCAATGTCATGAAGATTTAGCACTTCCAGAAAGTGATCTTTTACTACATAGTCATTAACTCTAAAAATTCTTTCAGAATTTGTGAACTGGTGGGAGTGTATGATGAAGGAAACTTCAGCTTCAACAATGCTTGGACTTACTTGGTTATACTTAACAACATGTCACAGCTAGTGAGTATCTAGAGTACATCTTTCTGCTCTTTTAAGTTGTCATATTAGTATTATGTGAGTCTTCTATGTGAACTATTGACAGTAATTGTGTTAATGTCTGGTAATGCTTATGGGTAGAATATTTCCCACTGTAAATCAGAGTTACCGTTAAATACTATATATGCAAAATACTAAGAAAACGGATAATCTAAAACCTTTGTTAATTTTACTACAAAGCTCCACAAAGCAATAGTGTGTCCCACCTCTCTGCCTCGAACTATTTGATGGGTGAGGTGGTATGGCCCACGCATGTTAGAGCTGCAGGCTTGCCCCTCTGCAGAAAAGGTGACTTCACTCGCCCCCGTAGCTTCCTCCCAGCTCACATACAAAGAATCAGCAGTGGCTGTGTTAAAAATACCGCGTTATAAAGCTGGTGGTAACAACGTTGACAGGAAGAAATGGAAAGGGTGCATGCAATGCTGAGATTGTGGCCTGCCTGACACCTTGTTGTGTTGGTTCAGCTGCCAGATGATGTCAGGGTAAGGGTAAGATGTCAGCCCCTGGACTTGAAAGTTTCATTTTGGAGGTCAGGGATTACATTTAGTGGCTTGCTGAGCGTGCAAAGGAATCATTTTCTGCTTCACCCAGGCCACGTTACACATGAGCTGTTGCAAGAGAGAGCAGCAGCTCTGGGTCCTTGCTGCTTAGCTTTCTAGCCTCCAAGCTTCTTCCTTCTGTTGGCAACAGCAGCAGGAGTCAGAATGGCATGACATCCCATCCGGAAAGGGTGTCCTCCTCCTGCTGCCACCCGTGTGTTTGGTGGGTGACTGCTACGGAAGGAGCTGTATGCTTTCTGCTGTGTGACAACAGTCCCAGCGGCAGCACGCAGTTCTGCCTGTCCCGGTTGATGTGATTGCTTAAAGAAACTTGGTAGTAAGAGGTTAGGAGAATGTGTGTGAAGAGGGGAGATCGATTCCTTAGGTTTGGCGATGCATTAGTTGGGTTGCTTGCAGTCATCATTAATAGGAAACTTGTTCAGAGGTGCAGTGAAGATTGCACTCATTGCCTCATCTCTCATAAAGAGGCAACATTGGCGGTGTTCCTAACAGAAGGCTGAAAGAACATGTGCTTTGTTATGCCACTTTCCCTAGAGATGAGCTTGGCACTGGAAAGATTTTATGGGACCTTCCTGTGTTTTGCTTTAGTGTGGAGTTAGATTACCTCAGTCTCTGTCTGCCAATACCATGCATTTCAGAAATGCAATTTCAAGAAAAAAAAAAAAAGCCGCTTTAAAACAGTAAGGCAAAGATTCCATAAATCCAGAGCCTCTTTTCAAAATACATAGCTTTTTAAGTTTGTATCGTACTGTGATATATTTTTAAATGGAGGAGGTGCTGTATAACAACTCCCTCACAAAATAAACAAGGATTTGAAGGCTCTTCATTTTCTTTTCCTTGTTAGTTTGCTATGTATTGTCTGGTGCTGTTTTATAAAGTACTACGTGAAGAGCTGAACCCTATCCAACCTGTTGGCAAGTTCCTTTGTGTGAAGATGGTAGTTTTTGTTTCCTTCTGGTAAGTGAATGAATGACTCATTACTTCTTCCTCTCAGGGTGGATCATAAAAGAGCTAAAAAGGCTGGATTTGTTACTGAGGTTAGGGTCTCAGAAAACCTACCCATAATCTTGGTGAAGTGCTGTGAGGGGAAGAGGGTACTAGTATGTTGGACAGAGCAGGCTCCTTCACTTGAGGTGGTTTTTTGACTTGCTGTTTCGTAAGGTGATTTTCAAGAACATAGCTTATTTTCGAATCTTCACTTGCAGTTATTTCAAAACAAAAAAGGACTTTTTTTTTTTTTTACTCTTTAAAGCAAAAAAAAAAAACCCCTAACTTTTTCAAAATAAGTTACTCTAAGTTAACTATAAATTACTAGTTAAGCGTTGCTAGCACTTAGCTGCTAATGAGTGAGTGCATTTGACAATCTGAACAGTATTCTGTGGGCTGCAGTAATACCCTGAAAGAGAAGCAATGTGTTCTAGTAACTAACTGGAACAACAAACTTGTCTTTAGTTGTGTTCTCTGTTGGTCTTCAGGACCACGGACAAATTTTTCAGTCTGTTTTCCTCCTCTTAAAATCTAAATCTATAAACAGTAAGGGTTTTGTAACACTCTTCCTATGTACAAACATACTTACACAGATGAACAGGCCTTGTTTACCAGATTTGCTTGTGGGTTTTTTGGCACTAGTGTTACAATAATAATGATAGTAATAATATTAATAAAAAAAATTCTTTTAGGCAAGCTGTGCTTATTGCATTGTTGGTGAAAGTTGGTGTTATTTCCGAGAAACACACCTGGGAGTGGCAAAGTGTGGAAGCTGTGGCTACAGGCCTACAGGTAGGAGCAGACAGTTACTTCTTGGGAGGAATGGCTGTATGTAAGGTGACATAGCTGATCTCAAGCAAATACTGTCATACTCTCTTTAATTAACACAGACTAGATTAGTACTGAATTTATTATATAAGTTGGGCTAAGCTTCAGCTAGTCGCCCCGAGTGAGTTTTATGCTCAACACTTCTATATCCACATGTCAGGCAGAAGGAATGCGCCCCAGTTAGGTACTTCTGTCGGATATCCTCGCATTTCTTCTTGCAGGAATTCATTGCAGAGCTGCTGCTTGCTGAATACCTGCTTCCAGCGAGTCAGTACATCAGGCAAGGACTGATTCTAATACGTACGTAGTACACACAGTAGTAGTCCATACTACGTACGTAGTACACACGGCTCTGAAGCCTGCCGAGAATGTCCGACCTCTGGGGGAAAAGTAGCTGATGCCGGTATCCCAAGGCAATTGCGGTCTTTGAGTTGTAGAAGAAATGCAGGAACTATTTTTCTCCAATTACAAAGGATTAAGTCAATCTCTCTCTCATTCCAGGATTTTATCATTTGTGTCGAGATGTTCCTGGCTGCTATTGCGCATCACTACAGTTTTTCCTATAAACCTTATGTTCAAGAAGCTGAAGAAGGATCATGCTTCGACTCTTTTCTTGCTATGTGGGATATTTCTGATTTAAGGGCAGATATATCAGAACAGGTTCGAAATGTTGGTAAGTAACAGAGAGATTTGTATCAGCTGTTGACAGCGTATGTATTTCCAGCTTCATTTTACACTACTATCCATCTCTCGAGTACCTTGAGAACATTCCGCACCACATCAGTGGTGGCTGCATCCCTAGAGGATTTCATGGTTTATCTGGCACTTTGCTCTTTCCAGTACTCCTGACTAATTTAGTCTAGGTTTTAATTTTTTCTTTTAAATAGATGGATCTCAGGGTAAGTTTCAGGTGGGTTAGGTAGAAGAGAGGGACATCCTTTCTGTTCTGTTTTTTTTTAAAATGGAAAGACAGCCTTTTATTTATTAAAGCTAACAATGCCCATGTAAAACTGTTCTAAAACAAAGACTCATTCTAATTTAACATGCCTGTTTTAGAGTTGATGCGTTCAAAGACCTTGGTACAGTGCTGGAAGTATTAAAAAGTATTTTCCGTTGGTGTCATTCTAGGAAGGACAGTTTTGGGCCAGCCACGGAAAATGTTTTTTGCTGAGGATCACGAACAAAACGAGCATACAAGTCTACTGTCTTCATCAACTCAAGACCCAATTTCTGATGCTTCTTCAATGCCATCTTCGCCCATGGGTCATTACCAGGGGTTTGGACACACCGTGACACCTCTCACAACACCAACGACGGCCCCGGCAGTTGATGGTATTTATAACACTTCTGCTATTCCAGACACTGAGGAGTCACCCGAACTACAGCACAATTTATCAGAGAAAGCTTTGGATAAAAGTTAGACTCACCTTTTTTTTGAATGTTGTTGAGGAGTCTCTTATGTACTTGCCAAACGTGTTCTGTTAACGTGTACGACTAGTGATGGAAGTTGAAACCCTACTGCGCAGACAGGAAGAGGATATGGCTGTAACGGACATCTGAATTCTGAACCTCTAGTGGATGTGAGTCTTTGCGAGTACCCCATGAATATGAAACACGCACACTGTAAAGGTTTCTGCATAAATTTAAGAATCAGCTCCTTAAAGTGCTCAACACTTACACATCATGTCAAAATTACACTGACTTTTATTAATACAAAAGAAACATTTGAAAAAATACTCCCCTCTTCTAGAGATGAAGTGTAAGTACTACTAACAATGGGAAAACTTAATTCCAAGAATGTTATTTACAGAGGGCACTAGCAAAGAAGTGTTTGTATTAACTTTGGTTGTCCTCTTAACGATGGTAACTAACTTCCACATCCTAATGCTGAAGGGAGTGTGGACGAAATGGTAACTTCTGTACAGATGCCATCTTCTTCCCTTGCCTGCATAGCTACATAGAATCCCTCCATGAAGATAACTATTACAGAGCATCAGTAAAGAATCTGTACAAAGCAAGCATTCCCTACAGGCCTCACTATAAAATTCCATGTCCAGAACATACGGTTGGCGTTATCTGCTGTCCTTGTGGCTCATAATTCGTAGTCTTTTACATTCAGAAGACAGCCAGAGTGACAGGTTTTGGATTATACTCGACTACTTTTTTCCTATCCTTCTAAAATAAGAATGATGGTTACTACCTTAAAATACACGGGAGGGGAGGGGGAAAATAAAGGATGTCAAGAAGCAGAAAACAAAACTGATTATTTTGAGCTGCAATAAATTCTTTAACACTTAAGCTGCTTTTTTTTTAAGCTGTTAAAGCAGGATATTGTGACAATGTGTCTGTTGTAATTTGTATTCATAAATTTGTGTGCGTATGTGATTATTCTGTTATGCTTCTAGTATAGCCTGGATTCCAATGGAGCCTGGATTTATTTATTTATATGCTTCTAGTATAGCCTGGATTCCAATGTGATAGTTGATTTATTTATTTTTTTTTTCCCCCCACCACCCCAGAGAAGACGTTTGCTAAGGTAAAACTAAGTACCTGCTCCACTACTGGAGTTACTAGCGTTAGATTGCAGATCAAGAAGTGCACTTGTATCAAAATGTTATTTTGCAAAAACTGACAAAATCAGAGGGGTGTTGTTTTCATCTCATTACCAGACTTTTACTACTATTGCATGTTTGCAATCTGACCCAAAAAAAAAAAAAAAAACCAAACAAAAAAACCAACAACCCCCAAACAACAAACTAGAGCACTGACCTTTTAAGTGACATCTGAAGTTTCTTTTTCAGCACTGTTAGCATTTACAGGATAAAGGTTTAACTTCTGGCTGTCACAGTAAATTCATCTTAAGTGCTTTTTTTGCAGTACTAGTGTGATGTAAATACTGCGCCTTACTCACTAGGCTGCATATTTTATAGTTGACTGTGAACTTGCTGTAGCTGAAGTTAGTGGGAAAGTACAAATCATCATTTTCAATTTGCCAAGTCATTGCCTTTGTTGTAAATAAGCAATTAAAGATTTTATTTAAACTGTTCACCACCTTTCAGTTTGATTTACTGCTACAGTAATTGAAGAGTGTGAACGACACGTGAATAGAACTGTCCTCTTCATGGAAGAAGGGGATCTTAAGTCTGTCAAGTACAAGAGTTTGGGCTTTCAGTATTTTAAGGCTTGAACTGAAAAGAGAATTCTTGTCTTTGTGAGCTTTTCAAGAATCAGAATCTATTTATTTGTGCTTGATTCCAGGTATCTTTTTATCCATGTAATAGCTGTGTTCTAAAAGGAAACAACTCGTAAAAGCTCACAACACCTGGGGACTTCAGTGCCCACTGCAGCCATTATTAGAAAGGATCCGATTTCCTGCAGGTACAAGGGGCACGGGTAGAAAACAGTATCTGAAGGATGAGAGGAGCTGGAAGCAAAGTAGCTGCTGTGCTCAAGCTTTTCCAAAACCTCACGCCAAAGAATTTTTTTCTTAATAGTTGAAGTTATGCCTGGCGTAAAACTTGGGTAACGTACAGAGAAGGGACTTTGATAGGAAAAGAGCTACTTAATGTCTTGATGGCTTCTTTCAAAGGATTTATGGAAAGCTACTAAATTATTTTATTATTACTCAGTTACTCCATGTGCCCAGTATTCCTGCATTATTTTTTTTCTGGGAGAAAAGTCAGTTTTTCATTGCAGTATGTTGTGGTTTAACCCCAGCCAGCAACTAAGTACCACACATCCCCATGGTCTGGGGAGGAGAATCAGGAAAAGGTAAAAGCCATGGGTCAAGATCGGAACAGTTTAATGTTTGAAACACAATAAAATATAAAACTGAATTTCCAAAATAAATAGCAATTTTTCAATGCACCTACCCTGCCTGTGGACAACAACAACAGTATTCCACAGCATGACCTGTCAAGTTTATATGTAAAGTTCATTTGCAAATAGTCTTTCACCTTTATGTTAACATCTTTGGTCCTCCCTTGGTTCATGCCTAATCTTCTCCCAGCTCTTAGTCACAAGTCTTAAAGCTTGCTCTTGCCTTACTTAACACACTGCTTGAAAACTCAGTGATGGTCACTTTCAGCCCTTGGTCTTATTGAGTAAGGGTAGAATATGTCCTTCATTTTTCTTTAAGCAACTAGTAAGACAGCAAAATGAATTTAAAAGCTTAATAAATATGCCCAACCACTATTATTGAATGGTTTTGCTTTTATCAGAGGTCTTCCAGCATGAGAAGCCTAAACACTTCTCTAAAAAACTGCACTTTGGTAAAGATATCCTGTACCTACTCAGTTTAGTTGGGTCAGACTAACTTAGATTTTAGGGATCATGGTTTGTTTTGGGGCATTTTGTGTGTTTGTTTTTAAGAAAAGCTGTTTTCTGTGTAGTAGGAAAAGCCTCTGTCCTACTCTAATTCACTTACATTTGGTTACACATTGTACCCCTTGGATAAAGTGACTGGATACACCATCCTTCATCTTCAGAAAACTTTACTTTGTCATTAACCTCTGGTTTGGAAAATAAAAATGGGGAGACCTTTCCTCCAGCCTTCTAGAAGGAGCTGTATTACAGCAAACCACAGCTCCAACAGTCCCTGAAGTTTAACTGAGAGCCCACCTGAAACATTTGACCGAATGAAGAGTACATATAGACATGAGATTCTAGAAAAATTATTTGTGGACAGCTCCTGTTAAGGAAAGATCACACAAATGCCTCTTCTACATTGAGCAGACAGCACAGCATAAAGAAACTTAGCTACAGAAACACCTTGCTAAGAGCCCTCCTCATGTCACTACAGAGGCAGAATCAATGCAGAGTTAGAGGCTTTTGTTAGCCTTCCATTTGGATATAAATTTAATAGAAGGAACTTGTTACCTGCATTATACCAAAATGTAATGCTGCAGAAGAGATGCAGGAGTACTGTGGTGACTGATGTAATATTTTATACAACTTTGAGAGAGACGAGTTCAAGCCCATTATATGACCAGAAGTGATTCTCTCAGGGATTCTAGAAAGTTCACTAGCTTTCCCTTCCACAATACAACTTGAGTTACTCAACAGCAGTCCTTTACAACTTTCTGTATTTGTCTGTGTGCAACAGTCATCTGTGGTACTGCAACTGGAAGGGCGTTACGGTCCCTGCTACAAGGCTAGCATCTCAATACACCTAAGTAGGATGCTTTGGCAACTGAGAAGTGGAACTACAGCTTGAGAAACAAGGACTCTATCCTGAACAGGCCCAGCTGTTTATTGCTGGTACAGGCATCCAGATGGTTTTTTTTTTTCTTGCTACAGATGATGGGGTAGCAAAGACATCATTCCCACTTGTTGCAGCCACTGCAAGAGCTAGCATTCGAGGGTTTGCTGCAGTGAAGACAATACTGCTTGGGAAAATACCGACAGTGCAAGTTCTAGTCCATTAGTGGAACCTAAGTATCTTCTGTTAAAGCAACAGAATAGCCTCTTTGACCAGCAGACAAAATGTAGACTTTAATATAAATTAACATCGGTGATGTTATGAACAGTCAATTTATGCATAGGTAATTAACCACAAATGAGTTTACACATGACATTCTTCACCGTTTCACTGTAATGCTAATGTTGCTTTTATGGTGTTGAACGTCAAGCACCAGTTCATCTCCAACCTGAACTTGGATGGGCTCATCGAGAACAACTGCTGCTTGTTTCCAGTGTGAGGACTCATCCGACGTGTTCAAGCTGTGGTCTTCGTCGAGATGTATGTGATACCAGAAGGGAATGGCAGTCACTTGGCCAGACTTACAAATTTGTACCTAAAAATACAGAGAATTAATCAGTTACACCCTTTTGAGAGAAGTAAGAAAATAAAGTAGTTCAAACTGTTTCAATCCATTTCAGAGATACAGAATTTACTTGTCTGCAGGTATTGACGTTTTCAGCCGAGGCGAGTAATGACCGAGCAGTTCTGCAGAAGAGCAGTTAAGCGCACTTCTAACTTCACATGTGCACGACTCACCTTCACTTCTCTGCTGGAGCTGTTCAACAGAGGGTTCATGAGATCCAGCCTTAAAAGCTCTGCGGGCTTGCTCAAGGGTAGACACGGTAACGTAGAGAGATCCAAATACACACGAACAGGTACCTACGAGGATGTACCACAACTTCAGGCATCAATAGCCGTTAAAAAGTGAAATGTTAAAAGACTTAATCATAATGCAAAAGTTTCTAGGAATTACTGTAATGCCTGTAAGAGACAGCCAAAATACAAAATACACCTTCCTAATCCCTTTTGGCAGGGGACTGTTGGGCTGCAAGGCGATGAAGGAGATAGTGAGGGCACAGTCACTCCTGTAGAGTAACACCGCATCCTTCCTTATGCAGACAGAACTCCTCCTACACCAGTTCTAAAATAAATGTTACCCATTTTCTTAAAGTCCCTGTCCGGTCACATAAACCTCTCTTGATAACTTCAACAATATTAAAGAGTTTCAGCTCTTCATGTTTCTTGCAGTTTAGACCAAAACTAAACAGCTAGACAGCTGCAGGCTTTGGAACTGCGCCTGGAAGACACCCACCAACTTTGTACCTTGAACT